TTCTGGATTCGTCTACACAAAAGTCAAATTCTTGTCAACTCTTTCAACCTAAGCTTCTAACCTTGGGACTAAATGACCCAATTCACTCCGAAACTTTCTCGAAAATAAATGTACATGTGATTTGCAGATAATACTGGGTGGAAGACAATTATTGTACACTTATATATTGAAATAAATAATGTAGAAAAGACTGCAAAAATATAACTATTAAGGAAGGAAAAAACCTGAAAGCATACATTGATCATGGATATATGGCACAATACCCCACCTTCAGCCGGTTCAATTCATGTAATAATAGAAAGTAATCAAGTAAAGCTTAATTTTTTTTTCTCATGGATAAAATGGTCAAATAGATTTTAAAAGATATTTCTCTAAATTAACTTTAGAGTTGGATGTTCCCTTTTCACGTTTTCATGCTTCGGAAGTACCATGATGACATGTCACATGTTTTGGACTTGAGCACGGTAAAGATTGATGAGAATTTGACCTATGAGGAGGAGCCAGTGGCTATTTTGGACCAACAGGTTCGTAATTTGAGATCGAAGAGTTTTCCTTTTGTGAAAGTGCAATGGAGACCGATTGAGGCGGCTACGTGGGAGTCTAAGTCCTATATGCGAGTAGAAACCCCCACCTTTTTACTAGTACAAATACTTTTCTATGTCCGTTCAAGGACGGATGTTTCTTTTAGAGGCGTAGAATGCGATGACCTGATAGGTCGTTTTGAGTACTAGCCATAATTTATATATTCCAAGATCTCCCATAGCTTACTTTGATGTTTTTCTGATTTGCATGCATGGTCCGTGTCGCTTTTCGGAAAGCTTTTATATGAAATTTTGAAGAAAATATGATTTTTGACTTAAAATGAGACCAGAGTTGACCACTGTCAACATTTTGGGTAAACGATATCGGATCGGTATTTTAATGATTCCGGTAGGTTGGTATGAAGTTTATGGACTTGTATACACGTTTGGTTGGGGTTCGGGGTGACCCGAGCGCATTTCGTCGCGTTATGTGAAAAATTATGAAAATGAGTTTTAAAGTTGAAAATCTTGAGTTTTGATGATCGATTCTTGTTATTTGATGTTATTTTGATGATTTGAGGTAGTGAACAAGTTTGTAGGATGTTATTACACTTGTGTGCATGTTTGATTTGGAGCTCGAGGGGCTCGGGTGAGTTTTGAGTGTGTTATGGATTGGTTTGCAACTGCTGATGCTCAGCAGTTGCTGGTGCACTACTGTAGATCTCGCATTAGCGAGCTCGCTTTTACAGTCAATAGATCATATTTGCGATAAAGGGGTTGGGCTGGGTGACCTCACATTTGCGAGGGAAAGTTTGCTTTTACAAAGGTGGGACAATTGCTTTTGCGAACATTTTGGTCGCATTTGTGATCACTGGACATTAAGACAACTTTGAATATTGAAGCAATATCCACATTTGCGAAGGTGCACATTTCGCATTGGGGATAAATTTGTTGCATTTGCGACTTCACTAGGCCTGATGCACTGATCACATTTGCGAACAAGTGTTCGCAAATGCGACGTCTGCAGCTAGGAAAAGAAAGGAAAAATTGGGACTTAGCTGATTTTACACTATTTCTCAACCCCAAACACTCTAGAGGCAACTTTTGAAATACTTTTTTTTCTCAAATTCATTGGTATGCAACTCTAATTCATTTTCTATCAATTCCCCATTACTTTTCATGAGTTTTTACCATCAAATCTATGAATTTCATGGTAGAAATTAGGGATTTTGGGTAGAATTTAGGGATTTTGTGAAATTGAGATTTTGACCTCAAATTAAAGTCGGATTTTGAAACAAATCACATAACCCGGCTCAGGAGTGAATGAGTAATCAGATTTTATCGAATTTCGAACAAGCGGACCCGGGGCTGATCTTTGCTGACTTTTAAAAAATGATCAAAATTGAACTTTTTTCATTCGTGGGTAGTTTTTAAAGCGTATTTTGAATTGTTTAATCGATAATTAGCTAGATTCGGTTAGTTTGGAGGCTTGTTCGAAAGTCAAAGCCGTGGTTGATTGTTGATTTGGTTGTGGAGCGAGGTAAGTGTCGTGTTTAACTTTGACTTGAGAGAATTAGGACTTGTTGGTCTATTTGTTGCATGAATTATGTGTGGGAACGGCGTATATGCAAGGTGAAAAGTATATATGTGTCGTCATGGGTTAAAACATGTGGATGGAAATTGATTTATAGTACCATATTGCTTCATTTACCATGCCTTTTATGCTTTAGTTAGATTGTTATTCTTTAATTGTCCGTTTTCGTGTTTATTGATTATTTGAAGTTGTTGGGATATCGATAGTTGAATTTGCTTATCATAACACCGCGATTGAAGTTGAAATTTGCTTCAAATCTTTCTTGATACTTTGGATTATTATTGTTGCTTGGTGAGGAAGTGTTAAAAGCACGAAGGGTGTTGCCCTACCTTATTTATGTTTTGATATAATTGATTGAGTAATTGTGAGGATTAAGGCACGAAGGGTGATGCCGTGCACTTGATTGCTTTATTATCATTTATCATATCATGTGAGGAAGAGCGTAAAAGCACGAAGGGAGATGTTGTGCCATTTCATTTATCATATCATCCGGTGAGGATGAGATTAAAGCACGAAGGGTGATGCCGAACCATTGCATTTATCATATTACATGGTGAAGATGAGAGTAAAAGCACGACGAGTTATGCCGTGCAATTTGATGATTTCATTGCTTTACTTGATTTTTGGATTGTGAATTTACTTGGCTGCTTCGTTGCTTATTTCGGAAATAGAATACTTGG